AAGAATCTCTTAACATGGAGAATATAAAAATAATTTCAAAAAAATCATGAAAATAAATTTGAATATGCAAAAGTGGTAGGCAAATTAACAGTTTTAATGGATGACTATAATACTCAAAGAAAGATGGGCTTCGTAAATTATTAGGTCACTCCCTTGGTATCACTTCCTGTGTGACCTAACCCCAGGTCACCACCTTTCAGCAACTAGCACAGTTGGCAGTCTTCACGCGACTCCCATTTGATCTGCCCTAGTTTCATGAGAAGGATACAAACTTTTACATTCTCAAAATGCACTTATATTTTAGTTCATATGTATTGTTTGCCCCAAGAGTACTTACTACCAGTTTGTACCACAAGATAACCCTGCACTGGCCCACACTCATTGACAAAAGCACAGCACAGGAAGCAGCATATTCTGCCACCAACTCTCACTGAATGTGCTGCAGAGCGGCACAGAAAGAAACGGAAGGTACTTCCTGCCCTCTACTAGGAATTCTGTTCTTTTTGATCACTTGATGTTTCCCCAAAGCCTGAGGAACCATTATTTTGATATTAAAATGAAACAAGCAAAATTAAGAACAAGTTGTTGATAAGACAAACCCCAAAACGTCAATTCCTCCCCTGTCCATAGCTCTGTCCCTCTCTGTGTGGACTCACTGACAGATCCCATGGCAGATGTTCGATATGCTGATTGATTCACTGATTAAGAAATACAATGGAGAAATTTGTCTTATATAATGTAGTTGCTTTCTAAATGTTTATTCATTTAAAATTAGTTTCTTTTAACTGCAGTGGACAAGAATTTTAAGTTGGTGTAAAGATCTAGATAAAAGTTCATTGTATCATTTTTTAATTATAAAAACCATTTAAATGGAAACATTTTTATTCTTCATGTTTGTCCTTTCTTATTCACATACATATATACATGCAGCAAAGAAAACCAATTTTTTAATTCTAAATGATCTAGAAAATTCAGATAATTTCAATAGAGATGCATTATAGCATAAGAGTGGAATACTGGCTCCACCACTTAATAGTTTTGTGACTTTGGATAAGCTTCTTAATTTCCTTCTCTTTAAAGGAAGGATAATAATACTGCCAGACTTAGTACATTGTTTAGAGGATTACATTAATACAAATAATAAAGTACTTACAACAATGTGTGATCTATAAGTAAAAAGCCTCTAATTTGGTAATTATTGAATTAAAGTATTCTGAGCCATTTAAAAGGGCAAACCCCATTATCCATTCTTATGAGGAAGAAGCTTTCCATAATACTCTAACTGCTGATATGTTAGTATTTTTAGTTATAGGCCTAGATTTAGAGTGAAATGGAATGTCTTTAATATTCAATTCAGAAAAATAAATCAAGACCTATGCCTCACAGTGGTCTACCATGGAGTCTACCTGCCCAATTCCATGACAAGATGGTAAAGAAAAAGTCTTATTTTTCTTCTCTTTGACATCTTTATGATGTTTTTACATGTAAGTGCATATCAGTTCTTGAATAGTGTACTGAATATCGAATACTATATTGAAAGTGAAAAACAGAATGGTTGTATGGGTACTTGAAGTATGGTTGAACGCATATCACTTTCCCACTATTGTAAAGTTGAAAAATTGTTAAGTTGAGCCATCATAAATTGGAGACTATCTGTACTTACTGAACACTTATTATTAACATAAGCCAGGCAGTATTTAAGGCCCTGGAAATATTAAGGTGAAGAAGGTATAGGACAGATTTGGGGGCGGGGAGGGGATCATGGATCATGGAACACTTCCTAGAGGAAATGGTAGCTAAACTGAGATCAAAAAAGCAATGTAAGTTAGCCAGACAACAAAGACAGAAACATAACAGCACATGAGTGGTCTTTTAAAAAAAGTGTAGCTGAACCACAGAGTTTGAGAAGAAAACTATTTGAGACAGATGAGGCTAGTCTTAAACAAAGGCCTAATTGTGAAGAGCCTTGTGGGCCATGTTAATCTTGATCTTAAGAGCAATGAGTGCATGACCTAGACTCGTAAAAGCATGAAGGAAAAAAAAAAAAAGAAAAAAAAAGTTTAAATTAATTTTTATTAAAAAAAGGAAATAATAAAGAAAAGCAAAAAAAAAAAAAACAATGAGGAGCTATTAATAGTAAATCGTCTTACAGAGGGGAGGGCAGGATTGGATTTATTCTTTTGAAAGATCTCTGGCCAGAATGTAAAGAATGGCTCCAAAGGAGGTGGAGAGACATATGTACAAGCCTTTGTACCAGGAAAGAAGTGGGTTTTTTTGTTTTGTTTTGTTTTGTTTTTTTGAGACAGAGTCTCGCTCTCTTGCCTGGGCTAGAGTGCCGTGGTGTCAGCCTAGCTCACAGCAACCTCAAACTCCTGGGCTCAAGCAATCCTTCTGCCTCAGCCTACCGAGTAGCTGGGACTACAGGCATGCACCACCATGCCCGGCTAATTTTTTCTATATATTTTTAGTTGGCCAATTAATTTCTTTCTATTTTTAGTAGAGATGGGGTCTTACTCTTACTCAGGCTGGTCTCAAACTCCTGAGCTCAAGAAATCCTCCCGCCTCGGCCTCCCAAAGTGTTAGGGTTACAGGTGTGAGCCACCACACCCAGCCAAAGAAGTGTTGATCATATGAATTAAGATAGGGACAGTGGGGTCAGAAAGAAATGGATGGAAGCAAGAGATAATTAGGAAATAGAAATAGAGAAGGAGAAGGCAAGAAAGAGAAATCTAAGCAAGTAGATAGATGATGATGCCTTTCATTCACTGATGAAAGGAACCTTGAAAGAAACTGATTTGTGAGGAAATGATTAATTCAGCTTTGGGTACATTGAACTTAAGGAAAGCTTGGACAAGTCACTCTTGGCTCTGTAGACTGCGAAAGTTAGATGAGATGTCCTCTAAAGTTCCTTCCAGTTCTATCATTAGATTTACAGATAGTTAGAGAATATTGCTAAGGAAAAGTTGCCTTTAAGAAAAAAGTAAATAAAAGTAAAAGTGTATATTGTAATACAGTGTTTATTGAAATGTGCTTTGTAAGCAATATATTTCCAGTCAGACTATTAGTAAATATTTTCTTAAAATAATCTTTTGCATAGGCAGAGAAAATATGAATAATTCACACTTTGAACACTCTCCTATTCTCTCTTAAGAATATTGGGCAGTGGAAGTACAACACCCCATTTTAACAGTTATGCATTGATGATTTCTTCCTGTTCAGAATAAACATGCTAGTCTGTGACAGTTCTTTTGATAGAGTTCCTGGACTTATTCTAGAAACCCATTCCAGAAGATGAATCATACTTTGCACTTGTGTTTTCTTTTTCTTGTTAAGGCTATTCACTCATTAATAATCTTTCAATAGCCTAAAACAGTGTTTCTCAACATGAACTGCACACTACAATCACCTGAAGATCTCTTAAAAATCCCCATGCCCAGGCCATGCTCCAAACGTTTTAAATCAATCTCTAGGGGTGAGATGTAGTACAGCCAAGGTTGCAAACTACTGGCCTAGAACTTCCTGAATGAGGAAGGCCCCCTGTTTATTTAAAAAAAAAAAAAAATTAAGAGTTTGGGGAGGGAGGAGAAAAAAAAAATTAAGCTGAGAACAAAGTCAACCACCAACAAGTCCAGCAAATTCAGATAACAAACTAACATGAGACAAATGCTATCCTTCATCAACACAGGGCTCTGAAGTAGAACCCCCAGCCCAGAACTCTTTATCACAACAGACTCTTGCTATGTAACACAATAGACCCTCTGCCTCATCTCCTCCTCTAGTCCTATGAAATGGGGGCAAGCATTTAAGAGAACCCTGAAATAAGTAGAATGGGGATTCCAGGAATAGTCAAGTTGCTTCAAGCTCCTCTTCATTTCAAGCCCCTATTCAAATCTCTGCCCATCTCATGATCAGTAGAGCCCTTTACCATATTGTTCATACAACTGTGAAAATTATTGTATTGGGACAGGCAGGATTCACCAGAATACTTAGCCAACTGTCTGTTGCAAGGGCAATAACAAGGTAGCTCTGGCTCTCTGTGGTGGAGAGATCACACCCAAGAGACCACGTGGCCCCACATCTATGTAGATGCTTAATCCTAAACCCCAGAATAGATGCAATAGTATTGGCTCCACGAAGAAGACCAGAAAGAGTCCCATTTCCCTCCTCTTCACTTGGGTTCAATTTAAAACCTGGATACACCCCACTACCACCCACATGTATACTCCAACTAGGCTTTTGTCTTGACCCTGCAGTCCAGGCTAGATCTCTGGACACTGACTCATCTACTTGGCTTTTCAATCTGTCCTTCCCTCTAACTTGAGGCAAAATTCTGGACTCTGATCTGGATTACATACCCTAGTGGTACTTTCCTGTACAAGCACCCACATACTGGCATAATCTAGATATTCTGAGGATGGGTAGAATTATGAACCTTTAGCCCCTGTGGACTCAAAATCGCTTATTTTCTGTGATCTACTATGTATTCCTACTGCCCAGGAGCCAGAAATGGCCTTAGCCCTAAGCCTAAAGGTCAAAAGAGCCAATAATCATAGCACTGATGGATTCATCAATGTTGTGCTATTCCTGTTTAGAGACCATAATCATTAATAGTCAAGAAATTGATCCACACTACCACCCATCATTTTAATAAACTATCCTGCACTAGGGTGCACCATTTCAGAATAATTTTATCTTTAGCCTTTAAACCTCAGCAACAGATAATTCCATATAAACTATAAATCTGTTTTCTTATGCAAGACAGGAAAAAGTCTGCTTTGTGATAAAGTCAGACAGTAAACAAGCACAGTGGCTATGAGGGTGGTCTGGAAAGGGAGGTAGCCTGAAGATGAGAAAAAGTATTCGGGAGTAAGCCACAGGCCTGGTCATTGCAGGAACTAGCAAGAAAACAGAAAGGCATTATTAAATTTGTGGTGAGTCTTGAATTAGGTATGACACATCTATGTTGCCAAACATGAATTTAGGGAAAAAGAGATACTGACCTGCTTACAGTTTCCTTTGCGTAAGTCAGTTTCTAAGGAAAACAAAGATATAAAAATAACTGAGTTAATAAGTTATTAAGTAGTAAATAAAACTTATTCCATAGAGAACACTACTGCCCTAATATGGCAGAATCTATGTTACTATTCTCTATGGTTAGACAAATGATTAAACCAGGTACTAATATGCCAAGTTTGTTTTGTAATTGTGGAAATGGCTCAACACTCAGTCTCTGTTTTTGTACCCAAAAATTCCTATGCTCTATCTTAATGGACACAGATTAACAGACTTGACCTGCCAATCATTCCAAAATGGTCTACAAATTAGAGATTGGTAGAGTTTTACATAAACGTGCCATGGACATAGAATAAAAGAATTTTGTGATCTAATGTATTTATAATAACTCTCATCCTAGAACAACATAAACATGTGGATAAAATAACTGATACATCTGTTTCTACAGAACTCGGACAAAAAGACATATCAATATTTGGATTATTCCTCAGAGGCGTTCCAAAGCAAATAAGCAAATACTATGTAAGTTTTCTTTAAATTAGTAATTTTATTTTGAGACCAATATAAAGAAAGGAACACTAACATGGCATCAGGAGACCTAGTTTCAAGCTCCAGTTTCCCCTCATTAGCTATACGGGCAAATCCCAAGGTCTCTCCGATACTAGGCCTCAATTTCCTCATCTGTAAAATAGAGATACTATTATTCTAAATACCTCTCAAGGTACTTACAAGTGATTCACTGCTCTTCTTACTCTACAGACTCTCTCAGAATAATCTCAGCTACTCTCAAGATTTAAACTACAGGCATACCCCAGATATACTACAGGTTTGGTTCCAAACCAAATAAAAGCACAATAAAGTGAATATTGTAATAAAGCAAGTTACTCAAATTTTTGGTTTCCCAGTACATACAAAAGTTATGTTTATACTATATTGTAGTCTATGAAGTGTGCAATAGCATTATGTCTTAAAAAATGTGCATGCCTTAATTAAAAAATATTTTATTACTTATACCCCCTAAATCTAATTAAAACATTTTTTTAAAAAAAGAAAAAAACTTTATTGCTAAAAAAAAAAAAAATGCTGACAATCATTTGACCCTTTAGTGAGTCATCATCTATTTGCTGGTGAAGAGTGTGACCTAAATGGTGACGGCTGCTTACTGATTAGTGTAGTGGTTGCTGAAGGTTGGAGTGGCTGCGGCAATTTCATAAAATAAGACAACAATGAAGTTTGTTGCATTAATTGCCTCTTCCTTTCATGAAATATTTCTCTGCAGCATGCTATAGCATTTTACCCACAGAACTTCTTTCAAAATTGGAGTCAATATTCTCAAACCCTGCCACTGCTTTACCAACTAAGTTTATGTAATATTCTAAATTCTCTGTTGTCATTTCAACAGTGTTCATGGCATCTTCACCAGCAGTCAATTCCATCTCAAGAAACCACTTTCTGTTGCTCATTCATAAGACGCAACTACTCATCTGTTCAAGGTTTATCATGAGGTTGCAGCAATTCAGTCACATCTTCAGGCTCCACTTCTCATTCTAGTTCTATTGCTATTTCCAGCACATTTGCAGTTACTTCCTCTACTAAAGCCAGGAACACCTTCAAATCATCTATGAGGGTTGGAATCAACTACTTCCAAACTCCTATTATTAATGTCTATATTTTGATCTCCCATGAATCACAAATGTTCTTAATGGCATCTAGAATGGTAAATATTTTCCAGAAGGTTTTCAGTTTACTTTGCCCAGATCCATCAGAGGAATCACTATCTATGGCACCTTTAGCCTTATGAAATGTATTTCTCAAAAAGACTTGAAAGTCAAAATTACTCCCTGATCTGCAGAATGAATGTTGTGTTAGCAGGCAAGAAAACAACATTAATCTCCTGTATGTCTCCAATGGAGTTCTTGGGTGACCAGGTGAATTCTCAATAAGCAGTGATATTTTGAAAGAAATCTTTTTTCTGAGCAGCGGGTCTCAACAGAGGGTTTAAAATATTCAGTAAATCATGCTATAAACAGACGTGCTGTCATCTAGTCTTTGTTGTTCGATTTTCAGAGCACAGGCAAAGAAGATTTAGCATAATTCTTAAGGACCCTAGGATTTTTGGAATGGTAAATAAACATTAGCTTCCAATGAATGTCAACAACTGCATTAGCTCCTAAAAAGAGAGTCAGTCTGTCCTTTGGAGCTTAAAGCCAGGCATTCTTTCTGGCTATGAAAGTCCTAGATGGCATCTTATTTCAGTAGAAGACTGTTTGTCTACGTTGAAGATCTGCTGTTCAGTGTAGCCACTTTTATCACTTACAATAGCTAGATCTTCTGGAATAATTTGCTGCAGGCTCTACATCTGCACTTACTGAGTCACCTTGCACTTTTACGTTATGGAGATGGCTTCTTGCCTTAAACTTCATGAACTAACCTCTCCTAGTTTCCAATTTTCTTTTGCAGCTTCCTCACCTCTCTCAGCCTTCACAGAACTGGAGAGAAAATGGCCCTGCTCTCAATTAGGCTTTGGCTTAAGAGAATGTTGTGGCTGGCTTGATGTCAATCCAGACCACTAAAACTTTCTCCATATCAGCAGTAAGGTGGTTTTGCTTTCTTATTATTTGTGTGCTCACAGGAGTAGCATTTTCCTTCAAGAACTTTTCCTTTGCATTCAAAACTTAGTTAACTGTTTGATGCAAAAGGTCTAGTTTGGGATTACCAGCTTTTGACATGCCTTCCTCACTAAGCTTAATCATATCTAGCTTTTGATTTAAAGTGAGAGACACATGACTCTTCCTTTCAATTGAACACTGACAGACCATTGCAGGGATATTAACTGGCCTAATTTCAATATTGTTGTGTCTCAGAGAATAGAGAAGACTGAAGAGAGGTAGAGAAGTGGAGGAACGGTGGGTAGATGGAGCAGTCAGAACACACACAACATTTATTGATTAAGTTCACCATCTCATATGGGTATGATTCATAGCACTTCAAAACAATTATAATAGTAACATCAAAGATCATTTATCAATATATATATGTGGGGCGCGGTGTCAACGCCATTACAAGATGGCACCTGTTTCCGGCTTTGCCTAGAGCAGTAAACAAGTTCAGTGCACGCGCAATTGTCGGTTACCCTGTGGCGCAAGCATGCAAATGAAGGATCCTACTATGGACCAATGCTTTGGCGGCTCGACAGCTGAGCGGCCTATCCCAGCTTAGGGGTTGTGCTTCTAGGGTATATAGCAGCCTGCGTGCTGCCGGGCTGGGTCTTCCGCATCATGTAAGTCTAAAGGGAACCCCATTAAAGCACTGTCAGAAGAACTCCAGTTGCCGCGTCTTCCTTGCTGGTGAGGCGGGCGCGACATATATATAAATAATAAAATTTGAAATATTGCAAGAATTACCAAAATGTGACACAGAGACATGAAGGAAGCACATGCTGTTGGAAAATGGCCCTGACAGATTTGCTCAATACAGGGTTGCCACAAACCTTTAATTTGTAAAAAAAATGCAATATCTGCAAAGCACAATAAAGCACAGCACATAAAAACAAGGTATGCTTACACTACCTCAAGGCTGGTGATCCCTACAGCTACATTTACAACCCAAACCCTGATCCTTGGCTACATACCTAAATATTGAGCAATTCACATTTCACACAGGAGGCTCAAATGAACACATTCAAAAGTGAACTCATTCCCCCTGGTACACCTTCAGAGCTGCTTCTCTACCTGTTTTGTTTTGTTTTTATGCTACTACTAAAGTTTATTTAACAAAAAGTTTAATATGAAAATGCACAGGACCCAATTTTGATGTCATAGTAAAACAGGCCTTTTGTACGAAGGACATGGATTTCTTTTCTGAACAGCCATTATTTATTCTCATTCCAAGGCTTCTAATATGATGATACTATTTCCTTATATTATCTCCATTCCGATATTGTTCTATTGCCCACTAGTTGCCATCTCCACACACTCATCTATCACAAGGTTCATAAAGGGATCAAATCGCTGCAATATTCCTTGGACATGTCTGCCACCAGTTAATTTCAATGATAACTTCTTGGCCATAAATTTTTTCAACTTGAGAGGGTGAGCTTTGCTCATGGTATCTACTCCACCAGATGAGAGATAGCTAAGAACAGAATTCGAGGCCTCCTGCACGCTCCCATGGTAGGCCAGATGTCTTATGTCTTTCTGCCTCAGTTTTCAGCTATAATCACTCAAGCTAGAAACCAGAAGGCTTCCTGAGCCATTTCTTCACCCTATCCCATTCCCATCCAATCCATCAGAGTCCTGAAAATCTTGTGTCTCTCAAGTTCTCTTTCTCTACCTCATTGTCTGGTTAGGACCTTCATCATCTCAGCAACTCCTTCCCTTGTTATGACACTTACCTTCATAATTAAGCTTCTATGTTCAACAGACTGACTAAAATTTGTTCCAATTTCAAATATACTTGTGGTTCCATTCTCACACATATCCATCCAGTAATGATATTCCTCACGCCCAGGAAGTCGATCCCAAAAAGTCCTGAAGGCTTCCCAGACAGCTTCTTGACACACTGGAAAATGGACAAAGAGGGGTTTTTATAAAAAGCTAACATGCTCTGGTAGTTCTCACCATGATCATGGACTGATTCATTCAGATTCCCCTAAGATACTCTTGTCCACAGTGTCTTTTCTGGAGGGACACAGGAATGATTCTCAGTCAATGCCATTCTGTATATCTAGTCTAAAATTTTCAGATTTGAAGAGAATTTTTACTCCTCACCCCTTTTCCCTTGCAAAGGGGATTGATTCACTCCTCAATGAGCTGGAGATTTTTGCCCCACCTCTTAAAAACTCCACATTTATGCTTTACGAAGGTGGAGCTGATATTGAGTATACTGTATTTAATCTAGTGTTTTCCTAATAGATACTGTGACTTTTTTAAGTTTCCTTAATGTTTACAGATATTCTCCTGAAGTCACAACTTCTAAAACCAGTTTCTTGGATTCTCAGGATGTCTTAGGAAGGAGTTAATGACATTCACAAATAGCCTAGAACTTTTTTGGCAAAATGCAGTGGCATAGTTATTGCATCCATTGCAATATTATTATGCATAGCTATTGCATCCATAGTTATTGCATCCATTCCCTTAAAAGCTCATCACATATCTCTGATAAAAATAGGAGTATTCGAAATTTTCCTCAAAGCTTACAGGAAGCTGAAAGTACTTCATAAAATCAGGAAGAGGATATTTATCTGAAATTATCACTCTCAAGCTACTATATTTCATATTAGATAACATAAGATAATGATGAGTCATTTTTATACGTAAAAAGAAAATGAAATCCAGCAATTGTTCTCCTGGGTATTTATCTTAATGAACTGAAAACTTATGTCCGCACAAAAACCTATGTGCAAGTGTTTAAAGTAGCTTTATTCATAATTGCCAAAGTTTGGAGGTGACAAGTTTGTCACAAACTGTAGTATATCCATATAATGGGATATTATTCAGTGATAAAAACGAAATGAGTTTTCAAGCCACAGAAAGACATAGAGAAAATTTAAATGCATATTACTAAGTGAAAAGAAATCAATCTGAGAAGACTACTGTATGATCATATTGTATGATTCCAAAGACATTCTGGAAAAGACAAAACTATGAAGACAATAAAAAGATCAGTGGTTGCCAGAGGTTGCCAGGAGGGAGGGATAAATAGGTAGAGCACAGAAGATTTTTAGGGCAGTGAAACTATTCTGTATGATACTATAATGGAAGATAGATAGCATTATACATTTGTCAAAACCCATACAATATACAATACAAAGAGTGAACCCTAATTAAACTATGAACTTCAGCTAATAATAGCATGTGAATATTGTCCCATAAACTGTAACAAATGTACCATAATGATATAAAATGTTAATAATAGGGGGATCTGTTAGGAAGTTGAAGGGATATATGGTAACTCTGTAAACATTTTGCTCAATATTTCTGTAAACCTAAAACTTATCTAAAAAATAAAGTCCATTAATCTTAGAAATATATATATATGTGTGTCTGAACTAAAAAATGATATTTAGGAGAAATATATTGCTGCATTAAAATAAAAACATCCAATCTATCTGCTATGTTATTTCAAAGCATCAAATCTCAAAGGCTGGTAAATAAGATGTCTGCACATTTTATATAGCACTGAGTATACCATTGGCCTATAACCATTGCAAAGGTGCAGGGCACTGTAGGCAATAAATAGACTGGTATGGGAGGAAAAAGGAGGAGAGTGGAAAGGAAGAAAGAAGGATGTAACAGACAAAAGACCAAGGAAATTATTTTTCATTGCAAGAAGACTGAACACTCATCAGGAAGTATATTGAGGTGGAGCCTCTAGACTCATAGAGTCAGAAGATGTAAGTTCTAGCCCCAGCTTTGCTAAGTACTAATTTGATAACCATGGGTAACTTACCTAACTATTCAAAGTTTCAGTGTACTCATCTCTCTTTTTAATGGGATGAATAATTACTGCCTCACCTAATATGTAAAAGCATTTTATAAACTGCAAAGTGCTACATGAATAGAATCTAATATAGAACTCAGGAAAATCAGCAAGAAAAAAATCAAACCACCCGATAGGGTCAAAGGACATGAACAGAAATTTTCTAAAAGAAGATAGACTAGTGGCTAAAAAACACATGAAAAAATGCTCAACATCTCTAATTATCAGGGAAATGCAAATCAAAACCACAATGTGATATCACTTATCTCCAATGAGAATGGCCTTTATCAAAAAGTCCCCAAACAATAAACGTTGGCATGGATGCGGAGAGATAGGAACACCTATACACTGCTGGTGGAACAGCAAACTAGTGTAGCCTCTGTGGAAAGTAATATGGAGCTACCTCAAAGAGCTGCAAGTAGAACTATCATTTGATCCAGCAATCCCATTACTGAGAATCTACCCAAAAGAAAAAAGAAATTCTATAAAAAAGACATCTGCACTCGGATGTTCATAGCAGCACAATTCACAACTGCAAAGATGTGGAAACAACCCAAGTGCCCATCAATACATGAGTGGATTAATAAAATGTGGTATATGTATACCATAGAGTTCTACTCAGCCACAAAAAAACAATGGTGATCTAGCACCTCTTGTATTATCCTGGATAGAGCTGGAGCCCATACTTGTACTAAGTATCCCAAGAATGGAAAAACAAACACCACATGTACTAACCATCAAATTTATATTAACTGATCAACACTTAAGTGTGCCTATAGTAGTAACATTCATTGGGTGTCAGATGGGAGGCAGATGGGATCAGGGAGGAGGGGATGGGTATATTCACACCTAATGGGTGCAGTATGCACCATCTGGGGGATGGACATACTTGAAGCTCTGATTTGGGTAAGGCAAAGGCGATATAAAGTATCCACACACAAGCCAGAACAGCTGAAATTTTTTTTACGTGGAGAATGCCAAAGCTTGACAAGAATGCAGAGCAACCAGAACTGTCATTTTTAGTAGGAATGTTAACATAGTATATCTACTTTGAAAAAATATTAATAGTTTATTATGTAACTAAATGTACACCAAACCTATGACCCAGCAATTCCCCTCCCAGGTATTTCTTCAGGAGAGATGTAAGGATATATCCACAGAAAGACTTATGTTCAATACCAGAGCAGCTTTATTCATAAAAACATAACAATGAAAACAACCCAGGTAACCAACAACAGAAAAATAAAGAAATGACCATACAATGGAATCAAAAAGAAATTACTAATTCATTCAACGAGATGGATGAATAACAAAAAGCTGAGTGAAAGAAGCCTTACACAAAAGAGTACATACCATTCTATTTATGTAAATCCCTAGATAAGTGAAAATAATCTATGATTTAAAAAAAGGTGTTAAAGAGTGGTTGCCTGATGGGGTGGGAGTTAGCTGGGAAGAGGCATAAAAGAACATTCTGAGGTGATAATACCCTAACACTTGAGAGAGATTTGAGTTACATCAGTATGTGTATTAGTCAAAACTCACCAATGGTATACTTAAGATTTATGAATTTCAATCTATGTGAATTTCACCTTTAAAAAAGTAAATAAATATTGAGTTCTAGTTAATGATACTCATGCTGAAATATTTAGGAGGAATTGCATTGATAGCTTTAGCTTATGTAATACAGCCAAAACATAAGATGGTGAGATATAATAGATATGTAATAAAACAAATATAATAAAATATAAACTATAGAACTAGGTGGTAAGAATATGGTTGTTGACGATTATCATCCTTTCTCTTTTCTATATGTTTAAAAATTGTCATGAAATCTTAGAAAAACATTATTGTGCGCTAAAGAAATGTAGTTAGAAGGAATGTGGGGAGCATCCAGAAGTGATACAAATCATACCAGGTCTCACAGCAGGCTTTTTCTTGACCTGTCTCCTGGATTCATAGAAGAATAGCATAAGCTATCTCCTACAAATCTGCTTTGGGGGATGTCTTCCCACTTCCTACACAAATCTCTCAGCAGTTCAATGCTCAATCTAAAATAGATCCATGGCCGGGCGTGGTGGCTCACGCATGTAATCCTAGCACTCTGGGAGGCCGAGCCGGGCGGATTGTTTGAGTTCAGGAGTTCGAAACCAACCTGAGCAAGAGCGAGACCTGTCTCTACTATAAATAGAAAGAAATTAATTGGCCAACTAATCTATATAGAAAAAATTAGCCAGGCATGGTGGCTCATGCCTGTAGTCCCAGATACTCGGGAGGCTGAGGCAGGAGGATCGCTTGAGCCCAGGAGTTTGAGGTTGCTGTGAGCTAGGCTGACGCCATGGCACTCAGTCTAGCCTGGGCAACAGAGTGAGTCTCTGTCTCAAAAAAATAAAATAAAATAAATATATCCATAAGAAATTCATTCTTTTAGGTTATGTTTAACCATGTGATATTTAATCGTCTATTACAATGCAATTCTCAGAGTTCCATTTCCAGCATGAAAAGTGAGGAGTTACGTGCATCTACTCCCCCAGTGAAACTTGTAAAAATTATTAGTAAAAACAATGACTTGAAGTTCTGGCAATGATCCTAGAACATACAACAAATCAAGAAACATTTGCTCAGGAAAATCCACTAAAACTTGGTCAGTGGTTCTAACCAGAGCAATTTATTGAATGAGGATTCTTTTCCCCAGTGTATGTTTTTGTCTGCTCTGTCAAAGATTAGATGGCTATATAAGGATGGTTTTATATCTGGGTTCTCAGTTCTGTTCCATTGGTCTATGTCTCTGTTCCTGTGCCAGTAACATGCTATTTTAGTTACTATAGACATTGGCAATTAGACAAGAAAAGGAAACAAAAGGCAACCAAATTATAAAGGAGGAAGTAAAACTATCTCTATTTGCAGATGACATGAGCTTTTATCTAGAAAATCCTAAGGAATCTACTTAAAAACTGTTAGAACTAATAAGCAAGTTCAGCAAGGTTACAGGATACAAAATCAATATGTAAAAATCAGTTGTATGTCTACACATTAGCAATGAACAATCCAAAAATGACCATCAGAAAAAATTACATTTACAA